GGACAAGCGGAGACGTAACTGGGTTGCCCCATCAACTCCTCCTTGCCAAAACAAAACTACCCTTTATACACGGGAGCGGCTTAGCAGAGCGCAGGCCAAGGGACTGGGCACACTCTAGTTCCGCCGCGTGGCCTACCTCAGCTCGTACCCCCATTTACTACACTCAGAGATTGAGGCGCTGTGGCCTAGGAGGGGCATTTGCACTTTTACTACTTCCTTTTGCTAAGTCATGTTAACCAACATTTCTTGTTACGGTGAGACCTGTAAGCTACTGTGAAGCTGCCAAACGGTACAAGGGAACCACTTTGGTTACAGAAATTAACAAAGTGGCCTGTACAGGCTTTGCTGAGTACCAGTTGGTACCCCCACCAAATCAAACTGTTTTTATGACTTTTTATTCCACCAAAATTAGTTTTATTCCTAGCGCATGGATCTTAACCACGACGGAACTATCGACACCATGGAAGCGGCTACCGCAAGAAAAGAGCACGGCGCTGGGTTGGTTCTGAATATATAACATTAGACTTATCAAAGAGGCAAAGTCCGCGACCATTCGCTATTTTAAAAAAAGCTCTACGACCCTACGAGTGACGATTTTCATGCTTTTTCGTCCTGCAGCACTGAAATGCGGGCCTTGAGGGCGGAGTCTGGAGGCGGAGTCACTGGAAAAAAGGAGGCGTCACTGAACCTATATTGCGCTACAGCGCCTCTCCCTTGCAATTTTTTGCCGCGAAACCGGTACAGGGTTGTTCGTCGTGGACCACACTACCCACCCGACGCAATATTTTCAACTTTTATACCTGATCGCGGACCATGCCTTAACAGCCATATGGCATATTTACTATTTCAAAATATTTTTGTGAAAGCTGTCTATAATTTTATCGTTGAGAAGAAAATTCAGCCTCAGTTCATTGAAAATGCGATTTTACAGTACATGTGAACACGCTGACCTGGGCCCACTTGTTTTTTCTTGCTTCCGTTCCTGCAAATTGAGCCTAGGGTAGTTTCAGGCCCTTTTCGAACGACCTGACCTTGATTATCTACTAAGCGCCGATATTGTGTGATTGATGTGAGTCTAAGCCCTAAAGTGTGTCAAACAGGAGATCCATGTTCAATGTCGCGCGCGGCGCCGCGCCGCATGACCGCAATGAAAATGTGTCTCATGCCATCATGCGCTTATTTCCCAGTTCTTGCTCGGCGCAGTAATCTAACCTCCTGGACCTCCACCCACGCTGTGAGTCGATGAGAATCGTGAGGATATATCAACTCATTCATTACTAAACAAAAGCATCTCGATCGTTAGGGTACGATATCACAATCATTCCTTATTCAGGTCTTATGTGACTACTTGAAATTTTCTGCACGGCTCCACTGCGAAACACTGCATAAGATAGAGAACAGATGCTGCTAAAGCACCAAAAGATCCCAAAAGCAGGGAGTGAGCCAGGAACTGTGCTTTCTCAAGGAGATGGGACCCAGGGAGGGGAGAGGTTTACGCCGATTATGCGTGAAAAAATGGAGTTGGAGTTGTGCCAGGTCACAATGGTCGTGGAACGCCACGCAGATCAGGGAGTGCAAACAAAACGAGATTGAAAAGAATGAGTTCAGGTAGTCCGTAGACCGATCATTTGGCGTCGAGATAATAAGGCCGTGTCAGCAAGCTCTTGAGAATCGGTGCCGCCATCGCGACCGTACGCGCAACTGTCGCGTATAGCGATCGCGCGAAAGTGCACGAATCAATCACATCCTGAATAGGCTACGTCACCGTAAACTAAACTACGATAAACTTAAACTAAACTACGATAAACTTTACTTCCAACATTCAAGAGCTTTCTACAGGGTTATCGATAGCGTCCTGGCCGTTGCTGACGTAAATGGCGATGGACAACTCACGTTTGAAGAATTCAAAGCTGAGCTGAACTACAACAAGCCAAAGAGTAGAGTTCGTTTTCCAAATCTTATCACTTTCAGTGTCAACATTTTTCTGTGTTTATTTTGCGACTTGTTTCAGAAGGAGACCAACAAGGAGATGGCCTACCAAGTACTAAACTACATTGATCAGAACAGGGATGGTAAACTATCTGCACAAGAAATTCGCGAGTTTGCTTCGGCGTACAATAAGGTGGGTGCAGAATGGGCGCCATATCCTGCACTCGCCATCGTCTCTGTATCCCTTCCTCCACTCAGAGCTTAGGCTTACTGTTAGCGGACAATGCCATCTTTACGGGGCTATCTCTCGGCAATTTTGATTGTCTGCTCTCTAAGCCTGTCCTTTTTGGGAGAGAGATACAGAGGCGAAGCCAAGTGGTCCTCCCCAAATACGTTACGCCGCAGAATGCTACGTTCCTGAAATCTGTATCACGCGAAGTTCAGAGATAGCGCAATGGCTATAGACGCTACATTGCACTTTACATCATGCCAGATCAGACCCCTCGCAGTTCAAGGCGATTTTTGAACTGTCCTGGGGTTGTTTATCTGGCAATCAATAAGTATGTAATAGAAATAAAGACCGTCACTTACTTACCTTTATCTATCTAAAAGCTTCAAAGAGGATCCCAATGCCCTTTTCTTCAAGAGTGCATTGGGATCCTCTTTGAAGAGCTCAAGTCAAAAGCTAATTGAGTGACGCAATGTGCTGGGATGGATTGCCGTTAAAGGCACGTTCCACGATAAAGGGCCGGGAGGAGACTCATGATCATTGCCACCTTCATGGAAGGCCAAGACGTAGCTCAGCTCCCGTTGCGCACTTGTCCTTGGAAGAAAGTCGAGCAAAAGCACAGTTCTTCCTCTGTGCTCACCGGAAAGGGAATGGACTTACTTAGACTTCGCTCCTCCAGTGCTGTTGAGCACATCGGGCGACGAAAGGGAATAAAGAACCTCATTATCCTTAATTCCTTCGAATGCTGTAAGTGAATGATCCCTGGTTCATTCCAACGTCTCAATTCAAAACGAGACATTGCCGACAATGATCTTTTAGGCAGGTGCGCGTGTGCACAAACGGGGTTTGCGCTCATGTCGCTATTTGCTTTTACGGCTTTGAGGTGTGCACGAGACATGTCAAAGACATCGACGATATTCTATCATTTCAGCCATCGATCGTACGCATGACAGCCTCAACCCATGCAGTTGTATAGTTTATTATTGTAATAAGAAACTTTTTGTGATAAATAAGAATAACGAATAAAAAAGTGGCAGCTTTGTTGAAGAATGAGAAACGATTGAGCGATGAGCTGTAGAACAGATACTTTGATTATCAAGCGGTAATGATAACCACAATCCTCGCTCTATAATCAAAGTGTCTATTCCATACCCTGAAAATGGAGTGGGCATGGCCACGCACTTCACTTGAGTGTGGCGGTGGCTGCGCCTTTGGTGGGGTACTGTCATTTTTTAACGTAATCACGCCTTAGCGAGCACAGGATACGATGGCAGTCGTCGCAAGAAAACGCATTATATGCTAGCAATGAGCTCTGCTTAATACGCTCAAGTTACGGGAGTCAAGTTTCGGACTGGCTCGTCGAGGCTAACCTGAGATCCAATGCGGGACGGTCAGTCGGCGCTCGATCAGTCCGGTAGGATAAAAACAAAAAGATCAGCTAGCCCCGCGAATCATTGTGTAGGCAAAACAGCATTTCAAGTGTCACCACCATTCTGGATGGATGTGGAAGTGCATGGCGCATTCCAGCAGGAGTTTGATCAGAGAGGGACACCTTTTTGGCTTTTTCCGCCTTGAAAGTATTTAAAAAGGCCTCAGTTAACCAGGGTGCAAATGAATAAGTGATATTACAGCTTTACTCTTGAATACTGTGGCAAACCAACGCACGTCCTGGCAGCTAGGGAAAATTTTACGCGAAATACCGCCATCCCGAAAATTGTCCTCTGGTGCGACCTGCCCTCCTGCACTATTACCCTCAACTACATGTTGCCTAAATTTCAGTCGCAACTCTCAACGCTTTCGGAGCTTTCTCGAGAATTTCCGTTTACCCCATCTCCTCAATAACTACGCGTTCGAATGAAGGAGAGGGGTGGGGGATACGTGGACACGGAGAATCTTTTGGGAAATCCAGCTGTTTCTCCTTCTGGTTTGAAAAATAATTATAATGCAGAATCACGAGAGCACGGCACGAGAAAGCAAGCATATCGTCGCCACAAGAAACGCATCCTATCCGTATTATAACCTGGCTAACAACTCGAGAAACACATGCCTTTAAAACCTCAGTACGGCAGTCCGTTCCGGACGGCTCGACGAGACTAACCTGAGATACCAATAGGACGGGCCACGTCGTCGGGCCCCCGCTCGATCACACTCCGAGACGAGCACACCAAACGCAACACAGCCAACACCAGAAAACTTTCAATGTGCGGAGGTCCAAACACATTTCAAATGTACTACCATCCATGACGATAAGGATATGGAAGCTTCATAGGGCGCCGCGATGCCAAGCCAGAGTTCGAATCAGAGAGGGAACACCTTTATTTGCTCTTTTCCTCCTTCCACAAAAAGTGTTTAAGAAAGGCCCATCAGTTAACCCCGCGCTCCCCTCCCGAATAAGTAATATATCTAGCTCACTCTGAGTTCTGTGAAGCAATACCCACGACGCACCCTGATAGCTAGAGAAAAATTTTCCCAAAACACCCCCCCCTCGGAAATTCTCTCCCCCTGCCGTCACCGACCCCATCCTTCCCACCACTTCCCTACCTCCTTCACTAACCATGCTCCCGTAACCATTCTCCCCTATCTATCAAACCTCTTACCACACTTTCTCGAAGAATACTCTCCAGTTATTATCACCCATCCCTACCTCAAAACACCCCCGACCCGAGTCGAATGAAGAAGGGGGCGGTATACCGTGACACCCCCCCCCCCACAGAGAAGCACTCTGAGGGAAAACCCAGCCCGTCTTCTATCCTTCTGAAAAAATAATACATGCCACCGTCACGAACGCCTTCGACCGAACGCTTAAGGATTCCCTCCCCTCGCAACTTAATCCCTTCGTGCCCTCTAGGTTCAAAGTACCCCTGGAACGGTAGCCGGTGTACGTCATAAATGGCCAACCTCTGCAGGCTATCTGTCACTTTTCACAATAGCCCAATGGCTAAAGGCATGCGTAGACATTTCAGCAGGGTTTAGACCCGTCTCACTTAGAACACACTGGAAGAAAACGTTTCACAGCAAATTAGAACAAAACCTTTGGTAGGAGTTATAGAGAATTCAAAGAAAAAATATCAAAAATTCAGGAAGGAGAAGAATTATACGCTTACGCGCGATCATCGCCGTTGACGAAATTCATTGTCACTGGTGTCGATCCGCTTGAACAAGGAAATATTTCAACAATAAGCCGCCAATCAATTATGTACCTTTACTATTGCACTCACCATGGCTAGGCTCCTGACGTCAGTTCATCATGATCTAATCCGCAAGATTCATCGGATCGCTGGGCATTTCTTGCTTGTACCCGATTCATCCAACAGACGGTACAACGTGCCGTCCTCTCAACCCATTGCGCTATAACATGTTTGAGTTCGCCGCGCCGGAGAATACGCCTAACACACCATCTTGTGAACGCCAAACACCCGTGAGACAGCAGCAGCCGCCGACTGCTACGTCTCGTTCTGTCTTTGCTCAGCTGTGATCCCGTATTCGTTACTGTTTCTGCTATGTCGGGTTGACTCTACGGATCATGCCAAAACAGAAAACTCCAACCGAACGACAGCTCTCAGATTGGCAAAAGAATGCCACGGGAGCCAAAGTTTCAGTCTGGTACGGGGGGCAATGAAATACTACGTTCAACGTCTTACGTGATCTGAAAAAAGGGCGTAATGGGAGGACGAGCAATCAGGTCAGCTTCCTGGCGCAAAATAATTCTGCCAACTTTTAGAAAGCTATATGAAAAAATAAACGATTAAAAGTGAGGCCTGTCCGTTTTAATCGAGCGCCCTTTTGAAAAAGTCGCTCATGCGTGTTGCGCCAGTAAGAACTCACAATGAGAACTTTTATTGAGTGCTGTGAAAAGAGATCATTGGTCAGCGCATGGTTTTACGTTGTTAGGATACCGTTGCGATGGCGCGGTAGTGGTCTCTCGGAAGAGGGGTCGTGAATTGCCTCTGGGAGATAATTCGGTTGCTGACATTTCTCCATTTTTCCCTTTTAAATGCATGCTTCCCTCCACTGGAAGCAGTTTTTGGGGAAAGACTGAATAGGAAGTGAAGTAAGGAAGTTAGTAATATTTGGATTTTAACAGTCTGTTCACTGCTGGATCAATGGGAGCGTCTCAGCAGGGATGATTTGCGCTCGCATGCTGTCCCTTTTGTTTTCCTTTCCGGAACAAGATCTAGCAATATCCGCTACTTATCAGTCCTTTTCGCATCCGATCGTTGGGCCGTTTACCCTCCGCAACTGTTGGAGACCGGGCTGGCGGCACGCCAAACCCAACCTCATTGAGACGCCAGTCGCTCACAGCAAGCAAGACTGTAGGTAAGATGAGAAAGTGGGTTCGCAGCAGAGGAAGGAACCTCCTAAAAGGAAGGGCGTATCTTGCCAAATACTTCCTCATACATAATGCCTTATTATGATAGAGGGCTTACATTTGGTTTCCTGAGAGGAATCTGCATTAACATTAGAGTGGAGCTTCAAGAGTTTCCATTGTTTTCAGTGCAGTATTCACGACGTTTCTTACCATTTCAGCTAATGTTTTAAATATGAAGTGGATTTGGTGTTCCTGCACGGATATGGAATTCAATTTTTGACGCCAGCGCCATGTAGCACTCTCCTGAGGCTGAGTCTGGAAAATTGAAGAGGGATTCCCCTCCCTACACCCTGAGCTCAGCAAAACAAAAAAGCTCAGCTCGGCAAAAAGTAGCCCTGCCGCTGAGCGACATCTTTCGGCTATTTTTTCACAAAAAACTCATCGAGACTACGCCTCCTCGAGATGATTGCTCACTCTGTGAGTGTGCTACACAAAAACTACACTGCACTTAAAATCAGACTTCATTATTGAGCATTAAAAAATCGGATTCTAGGTACAGTAACGATTATTCCACTATCAGTCCTACGGACAGAAAATCAATAGGAGAACAGCACGCAAAGAAGGGGTCCTTATATACAAGTACAATCATATTCAAATAAATCGATGAGCATCCAAGAATAACTCGTGTCGCCTCTACACAGTTGGTGGTGGCTGGATGTTGGCGAAGTCGGCTATTTTACCAGGAATTCGTTCCAACTCGTGAACCGTTAGGAAGCCGTCCTTGTCAGCGTCCAAACTGCTTACCACATGGGCGATTTCGGAATCGGAGAGCTGAAATTGGCTCTGAAGTTCTGATACTAGTACAGGACGGTGTTGTGAGCTGTGGTAAAAAAGAGTGGGCACTATTCACCCTTTACTACCCCAATCTTCCAAAAACAGGTCAGCTTTTGACTGACTTTTTTATTTGCTGGCAGAATTGGCTGAAAATTTGTCCCCTGGGGTGCTTTGACCTCCTGAACATGAATATCTGATCCGCTCGACACGATGCCTCCTGGCGCCCACGCTATAGGCGCCAGCGCCAAAATACCCCAAATCACCGGCGCCTGTGGCGCGGGCGCCAGGAAATTTCGGGCTAAGCGAATGTGATATTAGCCGTATTCAGATATTTTTCGTATTAGGAGGTCAAACTACATCAGGAGACAACCGTTTGGAGACGAATCTGTTCACGGAAAAAAGTCGGCTGCTGAAAACTGGGTTCTGTTTTTGGAGGACTGGGGCATAAAGGGTAAATAGCTTGCAACGAGTTGGAACTGCATGGGTGTACCACGAAGTGGCGAGAACAACAATCATCGGCGTTCCATAATTGTCACACGTATTTACTTGCTCAAGAGGGAGAGGCGGGCACCAATGAGGGGCGGCAATGATCATGAGTCTCCTCCCGGCCCTTTATCGTGGAACGTGCCTTTAACGGCAATCCATCCCAGCACATTGCGTCACTCAATTAGCTTTTGACTTGAGCTCTCAAAGAGGATCCCAATGCACTCTTAAGAAAAGCCATTAGGGATCCTCTTTTGAAGCTTTAGATCAGATAAAACGTAATTAAGTTGACGGCTTATTTCTACTATTACATACTTACTGAATTGCCAGCATAAACAACCCCAGGACAGTTCAAAAACGCTTGAGCTTGCCGATGGGCAGTCTTGATCTTAGCATGATGTCAATGTAGCGTCTATAGCCATTTGCAGCCTATCTCTGAACTTTCGGGCGATACAGAATTTCAGGCGGAACGTAGCATTCGCGGCGTAACGTCATATGTGCGCCAGAGGATCACTTTGGCTTCGGCCTCTGACTCTCTCCCAAAAAATGGACAGGCTTGATGAGCAGACAATCAAAAATTGCGAGACATAGCCCCATAAAAGTGCATGCTCCGCTAACAGTAAACCTAAGCTCTGAGTGGAGGAAGGGATACGGAGACGATGGCGAGTGCTCTCCCCCCTGCTCCCTCCCCTCCCAAAAAAGGATATGGCGCCATTCTGCACCCACCTTATTGTACGCCGAAGCAAACTCGCGAATTTCTTGTGCAGATAGTTTACCATCCCTGTTGCAGTACTTGGTAGGCCATCTCCTTGTTGGTCTCCTTCTGAAACAAGTCGCAAAATAAACACAGAAAAATGTTGACACTGAAAGTGATAAGATTTGGAAAACGAACTCTACTCTTTGGCTTGTTGTAGTTCAGCTCAGCTTTGAATTCTTCAAACGTGAGTTGTCCATCGCCATTTACGTCAGCAACGGCCAGGACGCTATCGATAACCCTGTAGAAAGCTCTTGAATGTTGGAAGTAAAGTTTATCGTAGTTTAGTTTAAGTTTATCGTAGTTTAGTTTACGGTGACGTAGCCTATTCAGGATGTGATTGATTCGTGCACTTTCGCGCGATCGCTATACGCGACAGTTGCGCGTACGGTCGCGATGGCGGCACCGATTCTCAAGAGCTTGCTGACACGGCCTTATTATCTCGACGCCAAATGATCGGTCTACGGACTACCTGAACTCATTCTTTTCAATCTCGTTCTTTTTGTTTGCACTCCCTGATCTGCGTGGCGTTCCACGACCATTGTGACCTGGCACAACTCCAACTCCATTTTTTCACGCATAATCGGCGTAAACCTCTCCCTCCCTGGGGTCCCATCTCCCTGAGAAAGCTCAGTTCCTGGCTCACTCCCTGGTTTTGGGATCTTTTGGTGCTTTAACAGCATCTGTTCTCTATCTGTATGCAAGGTTTCGCAGTGGAGCCGTGCACAAAAGTCCAAGTACGCAGTTCAGTAGTAGTATGCGCCAAGAATAAATGCGATATCATACTCTACCGATCAAGATGCTTTTGTTTAGTAATGAATGAGTTGATATATCGTTACGATTCTCATCTTCGCGTTTTCACAGCGTGGGTGGAGGTCCAGGAGGTTAGATTACTGCGCCGAGCAAGAACTGGGAAATAAGCGCATGATGGCATGATGACACATTTTCATTGCGGGCGCGCGGCGCCGCGCGCGACATTGAACATGGATCTCCTGTTTGACACGCTTTAGGGCTTAGACTCACATCAATCAACACAATATCGGCGCTTAGTAGATAATCAAGGTCAGGTCGTTCGAAAAGGGCCTGAAACTACCCTAGGCTCAATTTGCAGGAACGGAAGCAAGAAAAAACAAGTGGGCCCAGGTCAGCGTGTTCACATGTACTGTAAAATCGCATTTTCAATGAACTGAGGCTGAATTTTCTTCTCAACGATAAAATTATAGACAGCTTTCACAAAAATATTTTGAATAGTAAATATGCCATATGGCTGTTAAGGCATGGTCAGCGATCAGGTATAAAGTTGAAAATATTGGGTAGCGTTTTCCACGACGAACAACCCTGTACCGGTTTCGCGCAAAAAAAATTGCAAGGGAGAGGCGCTGTAGCGCAATATAGGTTCAGTGACGCCTCCTTTTTTCCAGTGACTCCGCCTCCAGACTCCGCCCTCAAGGCCCGCATTTCAGTGCTGCAGGACGAAAAAGCATGAAAATCGTCACTCGTAGGGTCGTAGAGTTTTTTAACGGGGAACCAGCTGGGCGGATGAGGGCGTAGTGTTGTAGACGAAGTTATAATAGTTAGGCACGTGCGAGTGAGATCGGAATGGGGTTCTAGCTAGGGTAGTTGGCATGTTTTACCGCTTTTTTTTCTTCACTTTCGAGCTACTCAGAGCCTTGTCGTCTATATGCGAACTCCTAATCCACTATCTGTGATGGCGAATGATCGCGGACTTTGCCTTTGATAAGTCTAAATGTTATATATTCAGAACCAACCCAGCGCCGTGCTCTTTTCTTGCGGTAGCCGCTTCCATGGTGTCGATAGTTCCGTCGTGGTTAAGATCCATGCGCTAGGAATAAAACTAATTTTGGTGGAATAAAAAGTCATAAAAACAGTTTGATTTGGTGGGGGTACCAACTGGTACTCAGCAAAGCCTGTACAGGCCACTTTGTTAATTTCTGTAACCAAAGTGGTTCCCTTGTACCGTTTGGCAGCTTCACAGTAGCTTACAGGTCTCACCGTAACAAGAAATGTTGGTTAACATGACTTAGCAAAAGGAAGTAGTAAAAGTGCAAATGCCCCTCCTAGGCCACAGCGCCTCAATCTCTGAGTGTAGTAAATGGGGGTACGAGCTGAGGTAGGCCACGCGGCGGAACTAGAGTGTGCCCAGTCCCTTGGCCTGCTAAGCCGCTCCCGTGTATAAAGGGTAGTTTTGTTTTGGCAAGGAGGAGTTGATGGGCAACCCAGTTACGTCTCCGCTTGTCCCCTTCAGTTGTTGTACATCGCCCCGCCCTAGAAGCCTCGTCAGAAGAAGCAGTTCCCCGTTGCATCATCTCTCCTTGAGAGAACTCACCTTGAAGATCTCCTGAGCGGTATCAATTGGCTTTCTGCTGACTTCGTACACAAGTGGTACGAATTCGGCCACATCGAGCGTCTGGTCGCGAGAAGCATCGTATTTGTGGAAAATTTCTGGAAAAGGCAAGCCTCTTTTACTACAGCCCGCGATCGGGAACTATTTGAATCCTATAACCCTCCCCGCCCCCCCCCCCTTCCAGTTTACTACCATAACTTCCCCTTAATCTTTAGTCACTATTGGTGAATTGAATTCACCAACTCATTGCAGAAAAACCTAATGAGAAGAGGTGTGGGGAAATCCCACATCATTCTCATTAACTTTGTCCCTTCTCAAGAACCCTCCCTAAGATAGGACCCCTCTCCTTTCCTGGAGGATCCCCAAAATTAATGTGGTCGATCAGTATCGGAATGATTATGACTTTTGCAATACCGGACTCATAAGGGAACATGCACTCCGATATCGTGAGTGCAGTAGAAGCGTGCTGCGAAGGCGAGCGGGGTGCTGCCCTCTTGCGGACGATATCGCATTCACTTTCACCGGGGCTATTTAATGCCTTTTTTCAGAGTAGAGCTGAAATCAAACTTTTGGGATCTTGCGCGCGTTGTTTCTGCTTCGTGCTCTTTTGTACCATTTTTTTCAAACTATCTGTAAGTTTATGGCGCCCATTTATTGTCCGTGTCGACGAATCGAGGTATGTTACGCAAAAGTAAAATTCATTCAATAAATATGTATAATACTTTAAATTGCAATCAATATGTTATTTGTAATTTAATTCGGTTGCATCAGAGAAGGGAGCTTGAAACTCATACGGCGTTATTAAACACGTTTTGTGGATTGGTCGACTGCGGCTATCCACCACATGACAGACCGCCCTATTTCAGGCACGGCTCGTGACGGTTCCACACTAGACATTCTTCCAACTCCAAAACCAAAATTTTTTTTTTTCAACATTGCTTTCTCGAAAAATAAAAACAAAACAAAGCGAGATAAAATAAAAATAAATTACTGTTTTCAATGGGAGGCTGTAGGACGGCGTGTACAAGAGCTGTCGTTGCAGCAAAAACGAGAAAACGCATCATTCCCCTGAAAAAAATTTGATAAAAAACTAATCCGCAAGTAAGGAATTGATAACGAACTGTTTGTAACGACCATGCTGAAGCGAATTAGATACTGCAAGGAAAACAGTGAAAAAAACAATCATGTAGTGGGTTAGCAGTTCTTTTACAAGCACAGCATGACCATAAAAGAAGGTTGATTCGGCCTAAAGGCACACCTTTGAGCCACCTTGAGAATCAAAATTCGTCACTCCACAACCCGCTCTGCCTTACGAAGGCCTGCCCCTTTTACCACGAGAATCAGCACTATCACCTTCTCATCCCTTTTTGCTACGAAGGGCTCGCTTTCTATATGGAGCTCGTTGAACATGAAAAGAAGGGTAAAAACAGCGCGAAATTTGATTCTTTCCCGAAAAATAGTCACATCAGCAGCACGCATGAATGCAGGTCGCTTTCAGCAAATAATTATGATACCTCTCCCAGCGACATGAATGCGACTCTCTTCGAGTGTATAGTGGATATAACTTCATCAACATGGAGCATTGGATGGGAAGTAGATTGAAGCCCTTTTCCAGTAATGATGCCATTCTGAGTCCATCAATGTTGATGGGAAAGACTGTTCTGGTTGGGCTCCGATCCATGCCGCTTCATAAGCCCTTGCATTTGCAGGGTGATGACTGTACGATCGTACTGTATTTCCGATCCCCTCAAGTTTGCCTTTCTTCGACAAAAGTGGAAGGCAGTAAAGAAAACAGCAAGAAACCTGTTCGTCAGGCTCCATACCAGCTTCTTTAGATCGCCGTAATCAACCTTAGATCTAGTTTCGAGCTCGGAAAATCGTTTCAGTACCTTGATAAATTATGCAAAAACTGTATTGTATACCCTAATCGGATCCGGATCCATTAGCCTGACGCTAGCTCTTTTTACAGTAATCGCTCTGCAATGGGAGCCTCCAAAGGTCTTTGAATAAAGACTCAGTCAAGCACCAGTGTTCAAATATACTTGATTTGGTCTCAAACAATCGGGGCGGTGTCATTAGGTCCCCGACTGAACCGCCTCTACCTTTCTACAAATCACTATTGTAGAAAAGGCAGCCGGGGATTAATCCGTTCTCAGCCGCCTTTTCTACCAGTAGTGATTGGTTAATGATCGATTCAGGAAGAAGTTAAGAGGACCAGAGACTGGAAACACTCCATGTCTGCTGACACCCCCCTTACTGGTTGCGACGATATCAGCTGTCTATAATGTACCGATGGCCATGGGCGGTAGAGCTGCAGCAGCAAGTGGCGCGCTGAAGGGGGGGGGGCGTTTAGGTCCATTAGGGCGGGTAGGCTCAATCACTACA